ATTCCATGGAATATAACAAAAAGTGTATCTCGAGCCGGTTTCTCAAACTTACCTACCCCACCTTTAACCATAGGGCTCAGTTCATGAAGTCATGCAGACATGGGCTAGAGCACATGTCTCAAACTCAAGGCCCGGGGGCCAAATCAGGCCCTTGGTGGATTTAATTTCGGCCCGCAGGATCATTTTGAATTACTATTAGATCTGGCCCGCCGGTATATTGCACGCACACCTTCACTCAATCCTGAGGATTTCCTCAGCTCAGAGCCTGACCCCAAACATTGATGAACTTGCACCCAAGATGAGATGCCATGTATCTGGCTTGAACTAGCATCACAGAGCAGCACACTGAGTTTCAATGGATTTTTCCTTCTGCACTTTTTTTCTTGTGACAACAGGGCATGTTTGGTTTTTTCTTTGAGGGGAATAGTTTTTTTGAAGCTGTTGTTGGCCTGTGGGAAAATGTAATCATAAGAAATGTCTCCGGAATAGCTGCAGATAGAGCCATAAGAAATGGATGCAACTGATTATTTAAAGGACACCTATCATGCTATATTTAAATGATATATTGTAGGGCCATACCTATATAAGGTATATTTATATGTTTCTGTTTTCAAAATACCAAACAGATCATGCATTTTAGCCATGCCTCATTTCGCTCTATGTGCTGTTCTCCAGCCCTGTTTTTGCACGGGGCTGATTCTGTGAGCTGCAGCTGACCACGCCCCTCACATGCAGGAGAGGGGAGCCGTGCTCTGAGATCAGCTGCTGGGCTCTCAGAAGAGGGGGAGGAAAAGAGAGGCTAGTACCGATTTTGTAATGTTGGCCCACTGTGTATTTGAGTTTGACACCCCTGGGCTAGAGGTTTCTTGGTCCAAACCATACATCTTAAGTGTGGTGCAACTGACTTTAAGTGTTTAAGGAAGGATTGTGGGGGTTAGGCAGGGTGGGTTGAGTATCTCAGAAAGCATTTTCACACACACAACTGTTTCTAGCATTTGCAAAGAATGGTGTGAAAAACAAAAAGCATCCGGTGAGAATCAGAGGAGAATGGCCACACAAGTTACAATAAAATAACAGGCGTTGCAACGGTACTATGGGGGGCGGCTTCTCTGAACACACAACACGTGGTGGAGGTGGGGTCTCATCAACTGAGGGACAGGAAACTGCAGCTTGAGAGGGGACAGGCTTGATAAACTGATAGTAGAAAGAAGTTACAATTAGCTCTGTTGCCAAAAAATACCACTCACACGTGAATGCATCAGTAAATGATAAAAATCCAATATGAAAACAGAGCAGGGCACAGGAGCTTTCTAATGGGCAAGGCGCAACTCTGCCCAAGGGCCCTAAGGGGCCCCAAAGGCTCCAGACTCACAGTGACCCTGGTTTATGGTCATTTGTGTAGATTTGTTTGTGACTATATACAAATAAAGATGGAATTAAAATTGTGCATTATTACTAGTGTAATAGTAGTCTTGTGGCTTCCTACCTTTGTTTCCATCAAGCCACTTAGACGCCTTGTAACTCAACATTTCTAAAGTGTTATCTTTTCATTTATTTGTTTTAGTTTACTTTCAGTTGTGATGACTTGTTTGTCTTCCGATAAGTTGATGTTGTGAGACTCTGAGTTTAATCAAAATAAAATATAAATCTTAGGTCTTTACAATAGTCAAAAAAATCAAAACAAAAGAGGCAAAACTGATAAGAATAAACAGCTAAGATCGTCTTTCTTTTATAGTGTGTAGGCTAATGTAACTTAATGGTTAAAAAGTATGTCTCGACGCACGGTGTCTTCCATACAGGTTGCCCATATCTGTGTCTCTTAAGGCCCTGACACACCAGGCAGTCACCAGAGAACTCGCCGACGCAGACTGTTGCGTCGGCGAGTTCTCCTGCATCTTGGCCATGTGTCGCACTGGAACACACCGCAAAGACTTCGGCCAAGCACGTACGAACTGCGCATGCGTGAGTGGCAATAACTCTCCTTACCAGCAGGCGGCGGTAGTGTGTATTCGTCATTCAAAATAGGCAACAACCGGAAGACAGAGAAGAAGAACAGACTGTGATATAAACAAACAACAAATAGCGTGTGCGTTCCATTTTCACTGTCGTCCATCGAAAACATGTTTCGTGCGGTACTGGGGCTATCAGCCATTGGAGTGTTGCTTGTGGAAGACATTCTCAAGAAACAGTCTCTCAAGAGACGGAAGCGAAGAATTAGGAGAAACCGCACTAAATGGGTGAAATCATGGATACTACAGCGAGAAGCTCATGGCGCGTTGTGATATTTTCCTCAAGCTTTGGTAAAGTGTATTCTTTGAATGCAGATTTGGGTTCTGCCCGCTCTGTATTAATGTCATGTGGATTTTCCTGTCATGTTGACAGGTTATCATCATGTAGGCGTTGATAAAAGCTCATTCTAATGTTGTGTTATGTGTGTATGAAGGTACGAAATAAAGTTTTGCATTGCCTATCCTGCTATTTGTGTTTATTCTTTTAATCACACAGCGATAAGAAACAATAACAATGTGCCTACATAACTGTCAGTTGCAGCCCTAGCATTAGTATTGGTTATAGTAACAGCTACAACATTAAAATACTTCTAGGCAGATTGAGGAGGATAATGGGAGAATGAACAGAGGGGCAGAAACATCCATCTGAATAATAATAATAACTTTATTTGTATAGCACCTTTCATACAGGGGATTGCAGTTCAAAGTGCTTTACATCAGTAAGAAATAAGACATAAAATTAGTGTAAAACAAGCAGCAAGAGCAAAGCATAAAGTGGGATAAATAATGCAGATATATTATATATATATATATATATATATATATATATATATATATATATATATATATAAAGAGTAATAGGGATAGGGATATTGTAATCCCAACAGGCCACCTTGTTTATGGTTTGATTCAGTTTTAGTAGAATATAAAATACATGAATGATGAAATGAGCACATAAAGTGCAGACATACTATAAAATCACAGTTAAAAGACCTGCATCTGATGATCGCAGTGTTCTGGCGGGTGTGTAGTTTATTAGAGTCAGCAATGTAGTAATGTATGTAATGTCAAAATGGCCACTTCTTGCTAAATTTACATTTCCATGTGACGCTTTTATCCGAGGCGACTCACAATAGGTAAATGAACAGCGGTAGACGGGGGGTGTTTCTCAATCGCGAGTAAAGCTGCTTCAGAGCCACTATTTCAAGCATACTACGTCATCGAGTGCCGCCGAAGTACTGTTCCAATCTCCAGCATACTTGGAAATCTACCGAGCCCAGAGTACTCCGTTTGGAGAAATATCGAGGCTGCACATGAGTAGACTCCGCGGTCTTAAAATCCCCACAATGCTTTGCGCACGGACCAATTTCCAAAATCTGTGGCGGAAACTGTAAGGCGGGGCCTATCATATGACGCACACCTGCACACTTGCTAGCCTGTTCCACTCTTTGTTTTCCAAATGTCAGGAAGTATTCTTGACTCGCTTCTGAAGCAAGATGCTCGGCAGACATGTACTACCAAGCAAGCGTACTCGCGATTGAGAAACACCCAGTATCTCATGTACTTATGGCGCATTTCCACTACACGGCCTCGCACGGCCTCGCTCGGTATGGCTAGGCCTCGTTAGGACTGGCTCACTTTATGGCGCATTGCCATTACAGTTTAGGAACTGGGGTAGTATCTATAGTAACGCAGTGTAGGCGGAGCCGTGACGTCATCTTCAATGAGAACCCCAGAAAAACAACACAGCCGTTAGCTGTTAGCACTCAGAGCTCACAGCTCCTCATATATGTTCAGAAACTAGACAAAAGTTAAACAAGTACAAACCACAGACTGCCTGTGTCATGGTGAATACAGTCGCTGCTTTATTTATGTCTGTATAGGCCGTTGTTGTGAGTGTGGACGGTCGGAGCATATACTGCGTTAGCTTAGCCAATCTCCATTTAGAAAACACGCATTTTAAAAGGTTTTTCGCCTGCCGTCTGTCTGCAGACTTGTCAAAGCATTAATTCATGGTTTTTACTAACCGGTATCAGTATGTTGTTACTTCGGCATCATTTTGAAACGTGTATTACAATTAAATCACGGTCAAATATGTCCATCTTGTTGTAGTTGTAGCCCCCTTGCCAGCGATTCTCTCTCTAGTTTAGCATACTCAGCCCGACTCAGCCTCGTTGTCTCTGGCCCTAGACCCACGATTTTATGAGGCCAGAAAAACTGTGAATTAGGACCCGCCGGCCGGTACTAGGCCAAGTGGAAACGCAACCAAAAACGGGCCGCTGACGTCACAGCCCTCTTAAACCGTGCTCCGCGCTGTAGTGGAAACGCGCCATTAGACACTGTACTTAAGTACTTGGCCTCTCTCCGAGCGGTGCGGTTTCTTGGTCCGACTGCCTGTGTCCGACGCATGGCCGATTCAACATGTTGAATCGGCCATGCGTCGGCCGTGAAAGGCCAAATAAGGCGTGTCACGGCCGATGGTTCGGGACACACCAAATTGAGTTTGGGCGACAGGGCACGCTTCGTCGTCCGACTAACGAAGACGGCCGATTTCGGCCTGGTGTGTCTGGGCCTTTAAAAGGCTGGCGCTGTGGGAAATGTAGTCTGTGGGCTGTGGGTCACGATTAGGTGACAATATTTGGCCTTTTTTACAAAAACAAAAGACTGGCTCTAACAACCAGAAGAGCCCAGTACCAAACCAAATTGTTTTGTTTTTTTTAATACTTATGGCCCATAGGTAATTTGTACTTCAGGGCCCCTACTATAGTTGGGTTAGAACTTGATGCTAAGGGAGTAAAGCTATTCATAATACGTTTTTCTTTAGTATATTTTTGAGTTTACTTTTAGTTGAGGAACGTTTTTGAATGACTTTTGTTTGTAATGGAGGACTTGACATTGTTGTGCTGCTATTTGTATAGACTTTTGTCCTGAATAACAACCAGAGAAAGGGTCACCGACCTGAGACTGACAGCGGGCTGACGCTCCACTCACCTGGGGCCCTATCGACACTGCACGACTGCCCGGCGACACTGTACGACATCCGCCTGCTGCCCGGGGAACCTCGGTCCTCTGTGCCCGACGAGGAGCCATAATCCCCGGACGCTCCGTTCATACTCCCGGTCAGCAGACTGTCCGTTTCCATCTACAAGTTGTTCAGTGTCCGATCCTGCGCTGTGAAAGTGAAAGTAGGACAGGAGACATTCAGAGTGTACTCCGTCTGCACCCTCAGCGGCAGGCAGAGTCACATAGCTTCACTCAGACAGCCTGAAGCAGCAGCAGGGGAATGTTTTTTTAGGAAGTCAGCTCTCTGCCCTGCTCCACCCCCCTCCTCCCCCCTCCTCCTGCTCCACCCCCCCCCCCCCTCCTCCTCCTGTCCTCAAGTATCACTTTACACCGCCTTAAAAACTCAAACTCCACCTACAGTACAGTGCACGTGCTGCAGGGGCGCGGGGATTTATTTGAGTAGAAGAGTAGGTAGAGAACCGCGGGTATGTGAATCGTATGAGGTGTGATTTGTGCCAATGAACGAACTAACTGAGCAGCCAATCGTGTCGATCATCGCCTACCATGCCGTGAACTATGCCGCGAGAGAAGTAACGTGACACTCTCGTCGCCACCCCTCTCGTCTGAGAAGCTACGTGACGTCTGCGTCTGAAGTTACTTTACTTTGGTAGTTATCACCAAATAACCCAGTAATGTTACAGCTACTTACAGTAGTTGCTGTTCAAACTAGACTATATTTCAAAATAGTTTTGGTATTAAAATAATGTTACACCTCTCGTATGCCCTGAACGCCAAAACAACCACAGACAAGAATATATATTTTTAATTATCAAAATGATAACAAAGGCTGAAAAAACAGGAGAAGCCTGTCTTCCCTTGGTCTCCAGGAGAAAACTGTATATCACCAAGTTTTCATATAGTGTGAAATAGATCGCTGCAGTGAACACGACTTTATGTATTTGTTTATGGTTTATTTATATGGAGGGATGCAGTATACATAGAAGTTCAGAGAAGAAGCAACCCCTATATATTGTTTATTTTATTTCATTTCATTTTGGCACCATGGCAGAGGCACATATAGAGTTAATGTGCGGAGATTATAATGTCCCGTTTACTAAAATATGTATTGTTTTATGATGTTTAGTTGACAAAATAGTCACTGTGCTACATTTTGCTGCACTCAAGCATACATCTGAAGACAAGAGTTGTGTGTCCCTTTGGCCACAAGGGGGAGTATACAATATATATATATTGTATATATATATATATATATTTTGTATAGATGTTGCAACTATACAGAGCTTTGGCAATACTATATGTAACTGAGGTCATGCTAATAAAGCTATTTAAGTGAGCTGTCAGGAGGAAACAAAGGTTCGCCAACACATTGCACTTTAATGCTGAGAAAGGCTGTACAAAGACGTGAAACGATGTGCTGCAATGTCTGTGTATTTTTGAAGAATGCCAAGAAAAGGAAGAAAGTAATAACTCGCACTGAGTACAGTCTTATCTTAATCTTAATACATTACTTTATTTCTATTATATAGAAACACTATCCAATGATTTATTATGTGTGTGTTACACACACACCATTACTGAATTCATTCTAAAACCAAGAATAACCTACATACAACAATAGGGAGCCCTGGCTCAAGGACGGACAAAACAAGGACACCACACATGATTATTTTCCAATTACAGTATATTTATTTAAAGAGAGTAACTCAATTGTGATATCAGTTAATCAGTAATGTGTGTAGTGTACGGGTGTGTGATGTGTCAGCAGGGCCGGACTGGGACCATAGGTCAGGCCGGGAATTATACACCCAGCCATGCCACTACCAGTTTTTTTTGGGGGGCGTTTTGCTGGATGTATCGTCAATATTTACAACGTTGCTGCCCTTAGTGATAGCCCTACATTTTGAATCTACTACTTAAATAGAAACATATGGACATAGGATATTGTTAAAAAAAGTGTGCATATGTATTTGGGAACCTTTCCATGTGAACATGTTTTATTTGGGGGTGGACCTCAAATGGATTAAACTCTGATCAATAACTATAGTAACTTATTGAGAGAACATGAACATAGCTTGCTTATACTGTTGTCATTACATTTCCTTTGTTTTGTTCAGTATTTTCATAGACATAGCCTATTGAAACAGTTTCCTCTGTACCTGCCAGTTCTGTCCACTGAGCTCTGCCTGCATCTCTTCCTCAGGGCCATCACCATCAGCATCATCTGATAGTGGAACTGAATAAGGAGAACATGTAATCATTACATTAACAACTATTTATGAAATAACTTTATTCAAGAACATATATTATGCAACACTTATTTTATCACTTAGTTGACCCTGTATTTGCATGGCCTAATACCATAATGATTGTCTCCCCTTTAGACAACATAACCATCTCAAGTTATTCACTCACAGTATGAGGGGTTTGTAGCCCCAGTTAGCTGCAGTCTAACGGTTATATTACATATATTTGCCTTGAGTAACATTAAGGACATGTTTGGGTTTTGTGTAGCCTCATAGTCTCCAGTCACACAGCAGGGCCTGCCACTAACTTAGCATTGGACTGAGAAACTGTTTTGTTGACAGTCGATGTGCACATCAGGCTACAATATAGAAAGACATGTGGCTCATAATGTTCGCTCACTTACTTTCTGCTTCGTCATTCTATACCATACGGGGGTTCTGAATAAATCAGTGATTTTAGCACATTTCGCTGCCTTTTTTTGTTGCAGGATGGGGGTCCATCCTTCCACAATAATTAACCTTGCCGTCAGTTTCAGTCGGTCCAGTCCACACTAAATGTAAACTAGTGATGTGTCGGTCGCGAACGAGCCGGCTCAAAGAGCCGGCTCTTTTAAGTGAACGACGGGAGCCGGCTCGCGCCCGCGAACGAGCCGTTTTTTTTTGTTATTTTGTTGTTGTTAAGTAATACAAGACAGAATGATATGATGATCTCCGCGCTACAGCTGCTCCGTGCATGCATGCAGTGACATGTAATATCCAAGGATTAGAGACTGTTGGATGCTGCTGTTTTGAGCATTGCAATACATTTATTTTTATTATGTTTTTTTATGATTAGAGACGGTTGGATGCTGCTGTACTGAGCATTGCAATATATTTATTTTCACTATGTTATTTATTTATGATTATCCTTGGGCTCGGCAAAGATTTGATGTCAGCTGTTGCTGTCTTTTTTTCTATAGTTAATACTGAAATAGAGCCCTGCTGTTTAGTCAGGGCCTTTTCTTTAAATATAATTTTAAAATGTCGATAGAGTAGCCCATTTTTTAAAATGTCTATGCTTAAGTTTTTATCTCAATCTCAATCTTTATTTATTTATATAGCACATTTAAAACAACCTTCAGTTGACCAAAGTGCTGTACAGGCAATACATATTAAATAACACAATGGGAGTACAATAATAAAACAATAATTAAAAACATGATAAAAAGCACAATAACTAGAAAAATATTTTTAAAAAAACACATACAAATGTAAAAATGTAATGTTCAACTAGTATTAAAAGCCAGTGCAAAGAGGTGAGTTTTTAGCTGAGATTTAAAAAGTTCAATAGACTCAGCAGTCCGGATATGTACTGGGAGGCTGTTCCACAGTCTAGGAGCTGCAACACTGAAAGCCCTGTCACCTCGGGTTTTGTTATAGGTGTTGCTATCTGCTTTGTGTAGCGTGGTTCGACAAGCAAGTCTGTGCATTCATTGGGTGGTATCAGAGAGATACAAGGGTCTGTAAATGCAATGAAAACAATTGGCCACAGCAAATAATTGATATTAAACATGTCATTTTTACTTTTGAATACTTCAGTACAAAGGATGTATTGAATAATTTAAGTGATATGTGTACACATATAAATCATTAGTCAAAACAAGGCTACATTTGATTGAATTATAAAAGGTATAATATGTGGTAAACTGAAGAGCCGTTTGGGAGCCGAAAGAGCCGGCTCTTCTTGGTGAGCCGAGCCAAATGATCCGGCTCACCAAGAAGAGCCGGAATTCCCATCACTAATGTAAACAGCAGCGCGCTGGTCTCGTGAGAAACGGAGAGTGGAACAACCAATCACATCTTCATTATTCTCCTGGAATTTAAATGTGCACATTCGCTAGTCTGACAGGTGCGTGGTTCTCACTGCGCCTCATACCGGTGCAACTTTGAACACCTTCAATATATGCCGCATTAATGGATTTGGCCTGCAGTCACCGCATCTGGGCTGAATTAAACACGTATTATTTTAGTCCTGTGTGTTTATTAGAGGCAGGCCACATCATATTATGCCAGCGATGCGTTCACAAGACATACAAGCCACAAACTGGCAATCGAAACATGCCACAACCTGAGGGACAGTGAATGAGACACACAGACACAGACACACCCACACACACCTTGAGGGAGGGAGGGACAGCTGATTGCGTGTAGCAATCAGCTGTTCCCGAGCAGAGAGAGAGAGAGAGAGAGAGAGAGCTGCTAGACACAACTCTTATTAATCCCCGTACCGGACAATTGTTATTTGTTCCAAATCGGAACCAGATTTCAGTTCCCGACCCTCATCACATCCCCAGCCACAGGTCTTAGCCGGTCTTGACATAAACTCTCGAGTCCTATAGGTCCGATACAGAGACAATACGAAACCAAATGCAGTCGATTCCGAGACAAGACCAATACCGTTAAAAAGTGGTCTGGAGACCGGTCTCAAGTACAACACCAGCAAATATTCTCATACTAATGATTATTAATTATTATTCCCCTCTCTTCTGATACCAATACTGTGCCGATGAGAAAGTGTACCTGTAACACTCTCCAAACTACTGTAGGAGCGGAATCATTCGAAAAATATAATATAGGATAATGCTATACAATGCTAACGGAGGCGAGACGTACGTTATTCACGCGCTTATCCACGTACGTTATTCACGCGCATATCCACACGTAGGGTGAATTGCCCTAATGTGGGACATTTTTTGCATTTCAGACTTCCGGAATATATTGCGATATGAAGCCAATACAATAAATCAAAATACAGTACCATTGCAAAGTATAAACACCAAATCTCAGCGTGCATAGCGGAATATCAGTATGAGAAAAACTGCACCATCTGTCCTTTGACCCTCACATCGTACAAGGAAAAACTTCCAGAGAAAAACCCACAGTTAATATACACACATTCCTTCACATTTAAATTTAAATGTACATTAAAGTAATTCGTGAGGCCTTCTAACATGTTTTTAAATATAACAACGGTTGTAGTTGAAGAGTTTGTAAATTA